CCCCCCCCCGCCACCCCGCCACCACCAACCACTGGTTTCAGTTTTTAAAGCAGAGATTGTGAGAGTCTGGGCCATCTCAAGATGTTTTGTTTTGGAATAATACATCTAGAATAATATGTAGCTCTCCAGGTTAATATTATGTATTTCTTCTATGATAGAAGAATGGACCCCTGGTTTTTGTTTCCCAAATGGCAACTAAGTAGCATCTTGAAGAACAACCCCACAATCATGTAATCCTAGGTTAAACCAGTAGTTCTTCCAAAATTGTATCTATGCTGGTCATTATAGTTGCTTTCCCTCTGCCATTCTCAGAAGCTAAGGACATAGTCTAAAAAAATCCCTTTACTCTCCTGATTTAGTTCCTTGAGCCCTTAATATTGTGCATGGCTTATGGAAAGCACTCAGTTAATATTAATTATTATTAAATTCTGTGCTCAAAAAATAAAATGTACATTATTAGCTTTAATGCTGATTAGAGAACAGTTTTGGTTTCCATTTTGCTTGGCTCTTTGGAATAAGAAATAATGAATTCTCAGTTGTCTACACATGGAATAGACATGCTGCAAATAATTTAAACCTTAATTTAATTTTTCTTAACCATTGCACATATGAATTGACAATAATTGATAAGGTCAAGGCTAGACTAATTTTCGTATTTACACACAACTTTTTAGGAATTCATCTGTTGCATAAAGTATGACATGTTTGTACTATGTTTCATCGCCTCTGATACAGGAGGATAAATTTGGTTCACAGTTTAGTAACTGTACTTCTCTCTGGTATTTTAAAATCTTAGGCAAGAGATCGGATAGAAGAATTTTTCCGGAGCCAAGCATATATTTACTACCACGACTTTAATAAAACTATACCAGCTATGCATTTTGTGGACCACAGTTTTCAAGTAGTACGTATGGATAGCTGTCGTCCAGGCTTTGGAAAAAATGAAGGTCTACACAGTAATTGTGCTAGCTGTTGCGGTAATTATAAAATATAAATATCTAAATATTTAGATTATATAGTCAGAAGAATAGATGAATAATTCCCTTAGGATAATTGAATATAGTGATTCTTTTCACAAAAAGTTATATTTAAAGGGAAGTAAAATTCAAAGCCCAGATTTCTAAATATAATTATCTTCATGTATATTAATTTTTCCTAATTCATTCTTTTGTATTATAATACATCTCTATAGTATTCTGAGTTAAGCTGCTAGGCTATGAAGGAAAATGACAGAATGGTCCTACCTAGAAAACAGCATTAGAAATAGGAACTTGTAAATGGGGCACTGCAAAAGATACTATAAAATGCTGATTTTAAAGGAAAAAATAGGATTCTGACTTTCTCCTACCTTTAAGATCATCAAATTACAATGTTTCAAACTCATAATCTTTCACAACTTAATTGGCTGATTACTCAGTATAACATGGGTATAGAAACAGTGTGATATTGAGGGCAGATTTATATTACTAGTATAAAATACCTCTAACTGAAATTATAATAATCTACTCCATGTTTTTTCCTCTACAGTGGCTTGTAGTCCTGGGACTTTTAGTCCTGATGTTGATGTTACTTGTCAAAACTGCGTTTCTGTCCGTATTTATGGAGCTAAATCTTGCACATAAACTTCAAACAAAAAATCGTAATATGAAGACTAGAGGTGAAAGTATTGTTACTTGCTTGTGGAGGTGGGGAACATAAGATAATTTGTTCACATCCCAGAGCATCATAGATCCATTAAGTAAGATCAGTAAGACCAGAACATTGGAAAACATACATTTTAGGAACTTTAAAAAGATAGTTGACATGGCATTTGTAAGAAGGAATTTAATATCTCCAGTGTACAAAGGAAAGTGTATTAGTGGATGATTTTCAATGAAATATGTTTTGGTGTTTACAAACTGAATTTGTTGCTCTGTACTTAAGGGTATATTAAGATCAAAAAGAGTAGCGAAGTATAATATAATAAAAAACTTTATACCTCCCATATATTAATTTGTTTGAAATCACTCTGATATGATATAAAGGCCTATGTTTTACCGTTGTAATTAGAACCAAAAAAGTTATTTATTTTGGTCCCTTTGCTTTTAGTTTTTAAAATAATTAAGGGGCGCCTGGGTGGCGCAGTCGGTTAAGCGTCCGACTTCAGCCAGGTCACGATCTCACGGTCCGTGAGTTCGAGCCCCGCGTCGGGCTCTGGGCTGATGGCTCGGAGCCTGGAGCCTGTTTCCGATTCTGTGTCTCTCTCTCTCTCTGCCCCTCCCCCGTTCATGCTCTGTCTCTGTCTGTCCCAAAAATAAATTAAAAAACGTTGAAAAAAAAATTAAAATAATTAAGACTTTTTGGGGCGCCTGGGTGGCGCAGTCGGTTAAGCGTCCGACTTCAGCCAGGTCACGATCTCGCGGTCCGTGAGTTCGAGCCCCGCGTCAGGCTCTGGGCTGATGGCTCAGAGCCTGGAGCCTGTTTCCGATTCTGTGTCTCCTTCTCTCTCTGCCCCTCCCCCGTTCATGCTCTGTCTCTCTCTGTCCCAAAAATAAATAAATGTTGAAAAAAAATTTAAAAAATAAAATAAAATAATTAAGACTTTTTAAAAATACAGTTTTAGATTTATAGAATAACTGAGATACTAGAGTTCCACATACCCACTCCAGCTCATGCCATCACCCCTTTCCGGTTTCCTCTATTATTAACCTCCTACGTTAGTGTGATACATTTGTTACATTAATGAACTAATGTTGATACATTATTATTAACTATAGTTCATAGTTTAAGGTTCATTCTTTGTATTATACAGTTCTGTGGGGTTTGATGAATGCATAATGCCTTGTGTTTACCATTACAGTTTCATACAGAATAGTTTTCACCACCCTAAAAATCCTGTGTGCTTTACCTATTCATCTCTCCCTCTTGCTCCACAACCCTTGACACCACTGATTTTTTTATTATCTCTATAATTTTGCCTTTGCCCAAATGTCATGTACTTGGAATTATATAGTGTGCAGACTTTTCAGGCTTGCTTCTTTCACTTAGTAATATGCATTTAAGATTCCTCCATGTCTCTTTGTGACCTGATAGATCATTTTTTATTGCTGAGTAATATCCCATTGTATGGATTTATAAAGGACATCTTGGTTGCTTCTAGTTTTGGGTGATTATGAATAAAGCTGCTATAAACATTTGTGTGCATGTTTTTGTGTGGACATAAGTTTTCAACTCAATTGCATAAATACCTAGAAGTGTGATTGCTGGGTTGTATGGTAAGAATATGTTTAGTTTTGTAAGAAACTGACAAATCATCTCCCAAATTGGTTTACCATTTTTGTGTTCTCACCAGCAATTAATGTGTTCTTCTTGCTTCTCATCCTCACCAGCTTTTGGTATTTTCAGTTTTTTGGATTTTGGACATTCTGAGGTATATAGTGGTATTTCATTGTTGTTTTAATTTGAAATTTTCTAATGACATCTGATGCTGAGCATCTTTTCATATAATTATTTGTGTATCTTCTTTGATTAAGTGTCCAGATCTTTGTTCATTTTTTTGTTGGATCGTTTTATTCTCTTATTGCTGAGTTCTAAGAGTTCTTTGTATATTTTAGCTACAAGTTCCTTACATGTTTTGAACATATTTTCTCCCATTCTTTCCCTTCATTCTTTTAACAGTGTCTTTCATTAAGCAGAAGTTTTTAATTTTAGTAAAGTCCAACTTAGCAGTTTTCTTTCATGGATCATGCTTTTAGCATCATACCCCAAAACTCTTCACCAAACCCAAAGTCATCTAGATTTTTTTCGTTATATTCTAGAAAGTATATAGTTTCATGTTTTGCATTTAGGTCTAAAATTAATTAATTTTGTGAAGAGGATAAGTTTTGTGTCCAGATTTATTTATTATTTTTATTTATTTGCATATGGATGTCCAGTTCCAGCATCATTGGTTGAAAACACTATCCTTCCTCCAATGAATTATCTTTGCTCCTTTGCCAATGATTGCTTGACTACATTTGTGTGGGTCTGTGTCTGGGTTCTCTATTCTGCTCCATTTATCAATTTGCCTATCCTTTCATCAATACCATGTTTCTTGATTGCTGTATAGTACATCTTAAATTTGGTTAGTATCAGTCCTCTGACTTTGTTCTTCTTTAGTATTGTGTTATTCTGGATCTTTGGCTTTCCATATAAACTTTAGAATGAGTTTGTTGAAAACCCCCAGATGACTTGCTGGGCGTTTGTTTGGAATTGCATTAAATCCATAGGCTGACTAGGGGAAAATTGACATCTTAAAAATACTGAGTCTTCCTATCCAGGATCATGTGATAGCTCTCTATTTAGTTAGGTCTTCTTTGATTTATTTAATCAGAGTTTTGTAGTTCTCCTCACATAGATCCTGCACATACTTTCTTAGATTTCTATGTCTAAATATTTAAAGTTTTTGGTGCAAAACTTTTTTATTTCAAATTCCAGATGTTCATTGCTGGTATTTAGGAAGGCAATTGGCTTTTGTATATTAACTTTATATCCTGTGATCTTACTGTAATTACTTATAAATTCCAAGACGTTTTTTGTTGATTCTTTGGGATTTTCTACATAAACATTCATGTTATCTGTAAACAAAGACAGTTTGGTTTCTTCATTACCAATCAGTATATCTTTCATTTCTTGTCTTATTGCATTAACTAGAACTTCCAGTATGATATTGAATAGGAGTGATAAGAGGGGACATCCTTGCCTTGTTCCAGATCTTAGAGAGAAAGCATCCAGTTTCTCACCAGTAAGTATGATGTTAGCTATAGTTTTTTTTAGTAGATGTTCTTTATGAAGTTGAGGAATTTCTACTCCATTCCTAGTTTGCTGAGAAGTTTTTTTTTTTTTATCATGAATGGGTATTAGATTTTACCAAATGCTTTTTCTGCATTTACTGATGTGATAATATGATTTTTTCTTCTTTAGCTTGTTAATGAGATGGATTACATTCATTGATTTTCAAATGTTGAACCATCCTAGTATATTTAGAATAAATCCCGTTGGGTCATGGTGTATAACCATTTTTATACGCTGTTGGATTTGATTTGCTAATATCCTGTTGAGGATTCTTGCTTTTATTTTTATGAGATGTTGGTCTGTAGTTTTCCTTTCTTGTAATATCATTATATGATTTTAATAATAGTATTGTTTAGTATCAGTATTAACATTGTAGACATGTGAGCCAGTCAGGATCCTCTTTGGAGTCAGAAAACACAAAGTAATTTGAACAGGAAAAGTTTAATATAAAGAAGTACTACTATAACAGAGGATTAGAGTAGCAAGGAATTGGCTAGAAAGATATAAAAATAACACTAAGAATATAGGAATAGCAGATATAAAGAGCAGCTACTGCCACTAGGACTGAGATGGAGTCTCCAAGAAAGAGCTACCATCTCCCAGAGCAGACATCCAGACCTTATTGAAGAGGGCACAACCATGGGTCACCGAATAGCAGATGTCACCAATGCTGGAAATTCACTCTCTGTAACTTTCCAGAGATCCACCCTCTAGGGTGCCAAGGAAAAACTGTTCATGGGGAAATTTCTCAGTCTACAAAATCACACAAGGAGGAGAGGTTGTTGGCAAAGCTGCTGGCCACCATGCACTGTGGCATATGGACACTGGAAATATTACACATACTACAGGAGCCTGACAAGGCAATAATCCAGAACCAGAAAGAAAGTTCCTTTCCTCCTGCAGTGTCACTCCAACATCATCTTCTGACAAAATTTAACACTGTGCCAGCTGGTGAAGGAAAACATTTACAGGGCCCAGATCCATTTTCACAAAGCAGACAAAAAGGATATATTTGGAGCTGAGAGGCAATAAATAATAACTGGCATGATGCAACCCTTTAGCTAGTCAGCTTCCATATGCACCTTTGATTAATTTTTTTAATGTTTATTTATTTTTGAGAGACAGAGAGAGACAGCATGAGTGGGAGAGGGCAGAGAGAGAGAGGGAGACCCAGAATATGAAGCAGGCATCAGGCTCTGAGCTGTCAGCACAGAGCCTAACACAGGGCTCGAACTCATGAGCCATGAGATCACGACCTGAGCTGAAGTCAGACACTCAATCGACTGAGCCACCCAGGCACCCCTCCATATGCACCTTTGTACACATGTTTGAACTCTTGTGCATTGACAGTTTATATTTCTACCTGAGGAGATACAGCTATCCATCCTACAAGTATCCACCATTTCCTAAAAACATAGAGAAACATAGTCCCAGTAGTCATTGTTTTTATTCCTAGCTATATTAATTATTCCTCAAATTCATTCACAGAACCATTCAGTTTCCTAAGAACTAAATTGTAAAATTAACTTCCAACAACTTGAATATAAACTAAAAATCATAAAAAGTGAGAAAATGGGTAGCAAATTAAAATAAATATATGGGGGGGGCACCTGGGTGCCTCAGTCAGTTAGGCATCCAACTGTTGATTTCAGCTTAGGTCATGATCTCAGGGTCATCGGATCAAGCCCCACATCAGGCTTCAGGCTTCATGCTGGGTGTGGGGGCTGCTTAGGATTCTCTCTCTCTCTCTCTCTCTCTCTCTCTCTCTCTCTCTGCCCATCACCCACTCATTCTCTCTCTCTTTCTCTCT